TTCTACAACGGCCCTGTCCGCCGCAGCTATCAGGTGCAGCTGCACAAATACTTCTGCTTTGTTCTACGTAGGTTTAAGAAACATTTACATCGTCACAAAAAGATCAAGATGTCTGACAGTGTAACCGGTGTGATTCTGCGTTGTGTCTGATAAAAAAGGTAAAAGAAAGACCTCCAAGTAAATAATTTGCCCACTCCAGCTCCTACGACCAAATACAAACAGTGGGGAAGAGGGTTAGCTCAACCCACCACAACTTCCAAGCTAGCGAGGAGTATATATTCATGCTAGCATTTATGGCGCCTAAAACACATTTATGATACACACATCCAGGTGGCTAAATATGAATTATATGTGTGTTTTAAGGTGTTGGGAAAGAAATGACACCCACCTCTCCAACAGGGGAATTGTAGAAAAGGGGAGGAGCAAAAGGGGTACACTGTATTTATAGGGTTGCACCAAAGAAGAAGAAGAAAAGAATGAGGAGGGGCTCTAACTGATAATGAACATAACTACAGGCTTGGAGGTCCTAAAAGTCAGGTATAAAAGGAACGGTTTGGGGGTTTAGAACACATTTTGGGTAATTATAACAATGTGATTTATGACCCTGTTACAACAGCACAACCAGTGACAAGTTAAAGGGGAAAAAAGCCTTTATGTATGTGGCTTTCAGCAACACTGTGGAGCTTTTTATCGAAATGGTTTTGGGTGGACTTAGTGTGAAGGGTCAGTGCAAACCTGGTCTGCCACCTTTATGTTTGAATTTCCTTTAATTTGCCACCTGTCTGAATAAAATCCCCAAATGCTCATTGTCATCGAGTTTGACCTTTGCTTCGCAGCTCAACAGTCAGGAAACCCTGGCAGCCCAGTGGGCGAGGTACCTCTCTCACATGCAGTCAGGATCCACAGAGCTCAGTCACATCTTCAGCTGCTTGAAGACCATCGACTCGACTAACGTGAGTACTAAAGGCCACACGTGGGGTTCTGCTTTTCGCCTGCTGCCACTCAGAAGGCAGAATATATCACAACATCCTGTGGTGTTGAGTAAGACCTCAGCATGGCTCGACAAACCGTCAGCGGTTCATTTCTGCTTATTTACTGTGCCTGCAGGATACATGTAAACAATACAGTAGGCACACGCTGGAGATTTGCTCAGTAGATGATAATATAAAAGCAAAATCATTTTTTTATTGTTTATTTCTGCATGAGTCAGGTAAAATTTCATCGGATTCATCTCCTCAGGTTGACCCTCTTCTCCTGCTCAAAGCGGCCCTCATTCTTCAGGCCTGTCAGCGCTGCCCTCTAGTGTCAGCCGGATGTATTCTGTTCAGAGGAAGGTGAGCTCGCGTTTCAAGAGAACGGCCACGACTTCTTCTTTTAAATGTCAGCTTCTGTAATCAGAATTTTTTTTTAATGTATTTTTTTGTGATCTGCTTCAAAGAGTTGTCAGCACACAGATGTCTCCAGGGCTCACAATGAAGGTCATGGTTCACGAGACTGAAACATACACCAAGGTAGGACTTCAACATTTGTCCAGAGGTTTCCTAAACTTTTTTTTTCTTTTTTCTTCAGATCAGCAGTAGTAAAATCGTAGATATAATGAAAAGTTAACGTAAGTAAAGCAGCCTGAAAAGACAAGACGCACCAGCCCCCTCCCCCATTCACACGCATACACATAATTAGGGGATGGAAGCTCAAGGGTCCCTCCGCTGTGAGGACACCATGATGCACTGTGCAGTTAGTGTTTTGTGACAAATTTCTTTATTTGAGCTGCAAAAGCCGCACTTTAGAAGTCAGAGAATAACTTATTCTTCATCCAGGGTCACTCTCTTTGATGTGATAGGTCTATAAACGCATAATATTTCCACATGTCTCCACTGACTCTATATATTTGTTTCTCTAAGACGCAGGCGATCTTTAATAATGTCTAAAATGTAACAAAAAATACAGCAGAACTTTGGCCTGCTGTTAAAGTGCAGAACGTCACTCGTTATCGGGCTATAAACAATCAAGAAATTGTTTAAGTTAACAGCAGCTTGTATGTATTGTAAAAATGAATGAATATTAATGTCACGATCAGGCTGCGTGCAGGCAGGAGAGGACCAAACGCAAACTCACGGGAAAACAGGACTGAACTCAAAATACAGCTTTATTGCTGACAGAGGATAAAGGCGATACAAAATAATATGAAACTAAACTGGGAAGTACTAAGGAACTGACTCACGAAGAAACACACGGCGGGGCACAGTCATGAGGGAGAACGCGACACTGAACTGAGGGAGACGTGGACATAAATGCACAGAGGGTAAACGAGGGAAGTGGGAGCACATGGAGAACACAGCTGACACATACTTAGAGACTGTCAAAGTAAAACAGGAAGTACACAGAGGTTCAGACAGGAGGAGTGTGAGGGACCAAGCAGCCAAAGCAAAGAGGACACAGGCCAAAAAAGTATCTTCAAAAAGGGTTTTCTTTATTTTAACCCTCAAAAAGTCCAAAATTAACAAAATTCAAAAACATACTTAGCAGGCCCATAAAAAGAGGTCAACTAAATATAACTCTACAAAAAGGAATTTCCAGAAACTTAAACAAAACAAAGTGAGACACAACTTAACTCACAAACTGACCTAATTACAAAGACACAAGGGTAGCTTTTATAATGATTTGGCCAAACCATTTGAACACAATAGGGGGGAAAACAAAAACACAGTAATATTAACTAAGCACAGAATAGCCTAACTAAACCTAAAACACCCCTTCTCCTGGTAAGCCCATGGTTGGTCCAGCTGAGCAGGCATTTTGTTCACAGAGTCCTCAGCCACACCTTTTTCCCAGACAGGAAACAGCTACCGCCCAAACCAGGTAACTCAAAGAAAGAGAAACATAATTAATATAACAAAACATTTTAGAAAAACCACACAATGTTACTATGTGCGCGCCTCATAATACCAGTGTTAGGTTTAACCAAATGATTCATGAATTATATTAATGAAGAAAACTGCAAAGCAAACTAA